CGAATAGGTTTAATAACTTTATTTTTTTTTATAAATTATTATTTATTTATTTCACCTCAATCTTTTTTTTTTACCAAAATAAATATTTAAAACAGTTCAATAGAATTCATTTCCTCGATTAAAGCTGAATGTCATCAAAATTAGTTTTTTGTTTTCATAGTTAGAATGTGATTTATCGAGAACTTTTACTCTCCTTCATTATTTTCTAATGAGTTTTTCTTTTATTTTAAAATAAAAGATAAAAAAATAAAATCTTAGATCAAAATATCAAAATTTCAAACCAAAAAAACTAAAGTAAAAGTAAAAGAATTATGAAGGAAAAATAATCCCAAAAAAGTTAGTGATAAACAACAACTAAAAAAATCTTTTCTTTTTGCCTCACTAATTTCCTCAAGATTTAATATTTTTAAAGCAATAAAATTGATTTTTTTTAAAAAAAAGTACTAACCCAATGCAAGCTTTTTCTTATTTATTTATTGAGACAGCATGCTTCCTTTCTTTTTGGAAGTTTTTTTTTCTTAGATATTTCAATTTTGTAAAATCCGAAAATGAAGAAGACAACAATGAACTTTTGACCCACAATACTCTGAAAATATTTTAGATATCTTGATAATTTTATTTATAAATTTAAAAAAATTATTTCAAAATCTGAAATAAAAAATTTTCTTGAGTTTATATTTATTTTTTAGAAAATTTTAAAGTAAAAAACACTTAAATTAAAATTTTCTCGTCAAATAGAACCATTTGATATCAACATCAACTATTTTAGTAATTAAAATCAATTTCAACAATATTTTTTTCATTTTATTATTAGAATTTGATAACTTTCTTTTTCCTCTCTCAAACCAAAAATTAAAAAAAAAAACATGATTTTTTTGAAACTTTAAAAATTAGAGGAACCCAATTGTTATAATTCATAAAGAATGAGAACTAAGTTGCACATTTTGCAAAAGCAAAATTAAAAGGCCACTTATCTTCTCCCCGTATTTTATTTTATTTTCTTTTCTTTTAATTGTATCAATTTTTGATAATTTTGACTAAATTAACCTTAAATTAGGTCCTTAAAAGGCAAAAATAAAATAAAATAAAATTCATGGACACAGTAAATCCACAATGCAGATGAGAATGAGTCTACAGTGCATGGAAGAACAATACTCCCAGAACTTTTAGTGTTTTACTTAATGTTGCAACTTATAAAAAGGAGGACACTTGTTAAAACAATGAGGAGGTGGTGATAGAGAATTTATCAGAAGCCTCAAAATATTTTGATAAAAATACAACTTGGTCCCTTTATTTTTTATTTTTTATTTTTGGATTTTAGTAAGTAGAAACCCTAGAATTACATAGTTTTCTTTATTTCTTGGACCCGATTGCAAATAGGTATAACATCAGTGCAGAACACATGTTGATAACCAAAATTATTAATTTTTTTAATCATATAGTATATAATGTTTTCGCTTTGAATCTTAGCATGATTTATAAACCATCTTTCTCGGTCATTTTAATTGTCTCAATTATAATTTTTTTCTCAATTTCAAACTATGAAAAAAAGAATAACACATTAAATTGCAACATTTTGGTTTTGTGTTTATAATAAAATTCAAATTAGGGTTTTTAGGATCAAAGTATGGTGATAGAACAAATTAAATCAAGTTACGACTATTATTATTCCGTGAAGAATACTATTTTTTTCTTTTCGTTTTTGGAAACAAGATAAAAACCATGTTACATACAAAAAAGAGAGAAATTATTCTCTTGAGCTTTTAAATGTCCAAAAATGAGATTGGGCTGCTTTTCATGTTGCTTTTCTGCAGTTTCTGGGCTCTGTGTTTTATGTATCTCATGGTTTCGGCCCTTTTCACTTACCAAGTTTTAAAGTTTTATCTTTCCAGATTAAAAAAAAAAAAACTCTTGCGTGTTTTCGTTAGATAAATTGTTGAAAATAAGTCTTCCAATCTTTTATTTTTTTTATTATTAGGTTTTGATATTTTAATTTTTAACCTCTCATAATAATATCTTTAATTATTTTAACCTCAAAATAGAATATATATGGCAATGAATTTATACCTTAATTGGCGTTCATTTTCCCATCCTTTTCAAAATTTTCATATTAGAACCTCTCATAATAATATCTTTGGTTTTTTTTTTTATACACTCTTCTCTTTAGCTATAATTTTTTTTTCTAATTCCATAAAAAAAAATTTATTGTTTTTTAATTCTAACGAAAACCATCTCTCCATCTGCAGCATCGATGACTAAATATGTTAATTGATTTGAATGAAGGATGCTAATTGTACGATGAGTAAAAAATAAATTAAAAAATCAAGCAAAAATTTAGCCCACTTACCTGGGTTTAATTAACACATTCTTCATTCTCAAAAGAGAAATCAATTCTATATCCAAACCTGTTATACGGTTGATAAACAATATAATTTTGCTCTTTTTATATCTTATTTAATTTTTATATTTTTTTAAAATTAATTAACTTGCAAAATTTATAACTCGAATTATAAACTCAAATAGATCTAGTAATTTTATTTTTTGTAAATTATTATTTATTTATTTAACCTCAATTTATTTTTTTATCAAAATAAATATTCAAAATATCTTAATAGAACTCATCTCATGAATTAAATTTAATATAATTAAAATTAGGTTTTTTAAATTAAAATGTGGTTTATCAAAAACTTTCACTTTTTTTTTGTCATTTAATAGCTACTTTTCTTTCCTTCTAAACTTAGAAATTAAAAAGTGAAAGCATTTTCTTTCCTTCTAAACTACGTTGAGATCCCATGTTTATTATGTAAGGCCTATTCAACTCGATAAGTAGGTGGTTGGCATGGTAGCTAGGGTTTCCAAACGTTGAAAGCACAAAATAAAGCCATTTAGGTATGGACGAAGCTTCCTTCCACTCAAAGCTACTGGTAGGCAAGTTCACGAGATGGGGCCTTAATCCCTTAGAGTTTCTATTGATTTTACCATTTCATTGTATTTCAATGATGACTGCCACCTACCATATACTATGTTTTAAAAGTATTTTTTTAATTAAAAATATATTAAAATAATATTTTTTAAATAATATAAGCATATTAAAAATATAAAAAACATTTAAAAACATTAATCTAATGTTTTATTCAAATAAAAAAATTAAAAAAAATACTTAAAAAAAAAGAGACGAGATGTACTGTAAAATGATCAAACATCTTACTTTTTTTTAGATATAAAGCTATCATGAGTAGATATTTAAGTAAACTAAAGTAGATGAGAGTGCCAGAAAAAAAAAATTAAATCAAAATCAGCATCATTCATAAAGTTTGGTGGCTCCAAAGGGTTGCAGAGTTCAATTTCTGTGTCGCGACTGGTTAGAAAAGCAAATAAATTAATACCTTTGTTTTTATATATATATATATATATATATATAAGTTTATGGCATCCTTTGGCACGTCAATCTCCCTTTATTAGTTAGAAAAGTACATTTTTCTGGAGGTAAGAACCACGTTAAAATTTCCTTTTCTTTTTACGCCACTTATTTTGGTACAAGTGCCTTTGCATTTGTCATGTTTTTTATATCTAAATCCTTAAATTAACAAAATAAGTTGGTATGATTTTAGTTTATATTAAAAATGATAATAACAAGGCAAATTTAAGTCGTTCATTAAATTTAATAACAAGACTATATATATATATATATATATATATAATGATTGTTAATTTAAAACCTGACTCAAACCAAGTTTTATTTTTTATGAGAGTGGATGTTGAATTAATTATCCAAAATGACGAGACTGAGGTCAATTACTAGGAATTTTTAAAATTTTTATTAAAAAACATTATTTAAGTTTTTTTTAACCAAAATAATATTATTTTATAATATATATGAATTGACTCACTGTCCCTTGATATAACAAACTCACATTTCAGATTCTAAATCAGATCTGACCACAAAACATTTATTTTTCATTGTGAATTGCACAAGAATTTCACTCTTTTAATCAATAATATTGGTGTTTAGAGAGCAACTCATATAAATTTCGTAGTCGACAACTTCACATGATCTCATATTCAACATATCACCACAAGGAAGGGAACTGCTTAATTCAATAATTCTGTGATAAATTCAAGGGAAAATTCTTATCGCCAAGAACAATGATAGGATCATGACAGTCCACATTCCATTATCTAGATGGATCATGCATGACCTAAATTTCTGACAGCGAAGCTTGATAACGTTTACAAACAAAAGCCAGCGACCAGTTACTGTCAGAAATTAAAGAAAGCTAATAGAAAGTGAATGGAAAGGAGATGCTGAGACGCACCATCACTATATATACAAATAGCAATGATTATGGAACCTTTAAAATCCCTTATATTAATTTATTAAAAATCTTAACATCTCTTGTAATAAAATTTGTTCCCACATCACCAACCTTATTGTATCACATAAAACCTTTATAACGAAGAAAGAAGACCCAATATGCAGCCAAAACTGACCCCAACATTTCAACATAGACAACTAGAGCAAGCTAGCCAAGTGTAAAAGAATCATTTAATTTAATAATTTAAGTTTTTAGTTAAGATTCTAAAATATAATTTATATTATTTTTTAATATATCATTTCAAATAAATTTTTTTTAAATTTAAAATTTGTATATATTTACATTATCTTGTGCTTAATTTTTATCAAATAAATAAAGGATGGTAAAATTTAAACTCGTGATCGCTTGGTTATTAAGGCTCTGATATTTTATCAAAAAATTATTTTAACTGAAAAACTTAAACGGTTAGATAAAATTTTAAAATATAATTTATATTATTTTTTAATAAAAATAATAAGACAAGCTTACGAAAACTATCATTATCCAAGTACGGTCGAATGATGTTGTTTCTGGGCATTTCATCCGGCAAAAAATGACTAGAAAATTGATGGAGAGGGGTTTTTTTGAAACAAATAATAGCACTTTGGAAGAAAACGTCCAAAGGGACATATAAAATTCTAGGACTATACGAATATAAGATAGCATAAAAAACAAAGACTAGGTAGTAAAGCCTCCCATATTTGCTGACCAAACATGTTACAAGCCATCAACAATGGAAAAACTGTGACCACTGACTTGAAAATACTAGCTAGGCACAAAGTTGCGCATCATCTAGATGAAAGAGGTCAAAACAACAGCAGCATCACAAAAGGGATGGTATTATAAACACAACAGTAGGGCCCATCATGACCACTGGATTTGAATCCAATGGTTGATGTTGGACGTTGACTCAAATCATCGGTCTTCTGAACTTTTCCTTCACATGATCTTGCATGTCGGGGGATAGTCTTCATAAACATATTCACATCTACACAAATAGTAACCCCTACTTCGGCAACTACAACCACCAACTTCCCATATATCACACACTGGCCTTCCACAAGGTACATAACATGGACGTGTTGGCATACAGAAGTCATGATAACATGGGCCTCCACTAATCCCTCGGTAGCATTCATCACAACAAGTCCTTCGGGGTGTTGGGCACTCAGGATGCGGTTTAGGCTGTGGCTGTGGATGCGGTTTAGGCTCTGGCTGTGGCTGTGGCTGTGGCTGTGGCTTTGGCTTTGGCTGTGGCTTTGGCTGTGGCTGTGGCTTTGGCTGTGGCTGTGGCTCTGGCTTTGGTGGTTTTTTATCCGGAGGCGGCTTGATCTCAATGCACTTGACAGCTTCACCTCCTTTGCAGTATATTTTTGTCTTGATCTTTTCAGGACAGCAACACACCACAGTGATTGTCACTGTGTTTGCCTTCTTGTCATATATCTGGTTCTGGATTTCTCTTGTTCGTTAATTAACATCATCAAATCCACAAAACTAAGTCACTTCCTTTGGTAATAAAAACAACTCAAACCTAGCACTGTTCTTAAAGAGAAAAAAGAAAGACTCACGAGGGATAGCACACAGTACTCTCTTGATTTTCTTGTGGCATTTTTCGCATCCAAGGTCAACCTTAATCACCATCGTTGTGACTTCCTGTAACAATAGTAGTTAGTGCATGAATTTCATATAGGATCTCACCATGATTAATCCCAATAGAAAACATAAAAAACGTCGTCATGATAAATTTATAGACAGAAAGATTGGAAGAACTCAAAACATGTTCTGACATGGAAGAATCCGCTGTAGAGATTATCAAGAACTTGTACATATATAGGATCTCCACGTAAAAAGAAGAAAAGCCAAAGAGGATGCATTAAAAGATAAATTAACACACACAAATATATGTCATACCGTTTCTACCATGGTTTTGTGTATGCTTTGATCCGATGAGACGATGGAAATATGGAGAGTATATATAAAGAGGCGGGGGGCGGGGCGGGGCGGGGCGGGGGCTTAATTTAATTAAGATAAATGCATGGTTACATCATAAGCAGGAGAGATGTGAGGTCTTAATTTAGTTGTCCTTGCATTTTTAGACCAATAAGATGAGGAAATGTGGACTTGGGGGAGTGGAGACTTGATGCAACCATCGTAATAATTACATCGTCGCTGCTGACCCAACAAACTTTCATCAGCTGGATGGTTTTGATGTGCACATCTCACCTTCTATTTTGTTAATCAATTCCAAGGTTAACCTTATATACTACGAGAAATTATTTTTCTTAATGTATTAGGTTAATATAAAGGATTGTTTCTTAAAACTACTTAAAATAAACAAATCATTCTATGTATAAAATGGTTATTGTGAAAAAAAATCAATATAGAATAAGAGTGTTTAAAAAAACCAACCCATTTATAATATTTGCATTATCTAACTTGACCCAAATTATTAAGGTCATATTATATAGATATTATTGATAAAATGAGTTAAAAAATCTAAGAAATAAATATTACAGGTAAATAAATTCAACCTAGCATGTATATTTTATAACAATAAATTTAAATATTAATTTGTTGTTATATGTCTTGTCATTTATTTATTTTTATTTTTTTTGCAATTGATTCTTTCATTTTAGTTAATTGATTTATTTGATGTATTAAGTCTAAATTATTTGTTAAAACTTATATCACGTTTTAAGCTAATAATTTATTGAGCATAAATCTTAGTTATAGTTAAACTTAGTCCATAAAAATTAGCAATATAAATTTAACTTGTAAATATATATAATATTCATAAATATTTAACCTAGCAAGATATATCTAACTCTATCGTGTATAAATAAAAATTAAATAGGTGAAATTTACAAAACATTAAAAATTGTGTTGGAAATATCAAACATACTTCACCTAATTATATTTATGACACAGCTAATATAAAGGTTGTATTGTATCTATCCTAAGGGACATTAGATTGGTGATGTTCAATTATGCTCCATGCAGGCCTACTCCAAGCACATGGCATGTGCCCCCAAGTGTTTTATCTATCATAAATATTAAAGGGGCGTTTGAAAATATAATAGTGGTTGAGATTTAAATGTTTTTTGTCTGAGGTTTCTTGTCGTGGTATTTCTTCGTCTTGCAATGAGACATTGGTTATTTGAAGTGAGGTTGTTCTTGACTGAGAGAGAGAGTGTTTATCTTCGAAGAATGGTAGAAGTTGTTGTCTAGATTTATTGATTTTGAGTCTCTTGAAGAAGATGAAGGAGTGTTGCAGAGAGGTTTATAGAGAGAAGAAGGTGACGAGCAGAGGTTGTATGCCATTTGTGTGTCTGTGTCTTGGTTTTGGAGAGGGAAAGAAGAGGGACCATCTAAACTTGACTAGCAGCAGCATGAACGATATTTTAGGGGTGGCAGCTACCTTCTCTATCTACCTTCTCTCTTGTTTTAACAAATTTATCGCAGTGCTGTAACCAAGTGGTTGTTTGGCATAGTTTTTATATGAAAAGATAGATTAAAATCAAACTATGAATTGTAGTTTTTTTTTTTTATAACTAGAATTTTAAAAAATAATTTTCATAACTTCTTGCGGTGCAGGATATGCAAAGTCCCATCTCCCATCTCAAAAACATGCCTCTTCTCTAATTTGTGTTGTGCAGGATAATAGCAAAGTCTTCATTCAAAGTAAAATCTTTAACCTTAAATATCTATCGAGATTGTGCCTTCACCTTTTACTTTCAAGGAATAACATCAAGAACTTCAGCTTGGAACTTCTTCAAGATCTCGAAAGTAAGTATTGATAGTTGACGATTGTTTTTCAAATGGCGATGGAGACTTCAAAGATGGTTTCCCTACTCCATGTGTTAAAATCAGCAAGAGCTTCTTCTTTTTCTCTATCCAGTAAAGCTTCCTTGTGCTTCTCGCTCTGCAAACTCTTTCATTGTTGTTTTCTTGTTCACGTACTTGTCAAAAAAAAAAAAAACTTTATGCTTGCGATCGTCACACAATGATTGAATCCGGGCATCATCAATGAGATCAAAAAACCCTTCATCATTTTCCACCAACAATCCTCAATTTATTTCGGTTAGTTTTTTAATCTAAGATCGAATTAAACCGAAAATACTCCCCCTTTTACTCTTGATTTTAAATGGTTTAAACCATCTCTCCATCTGAAGGATCGATGACTAAATATGTTAATTGATTTGAAGAATGCTAATTGTGCAATGCGTAAAAAATAACTTAAAAAATCAAACAAATTTAGCCCACTCACTTGGGCTCAACACATTTTTCATTCTCAAAATAAAAATTAATTTTTTATCCAAACATGTTATACGACTAGCATATGGTGACTTTCACATGCACAAAACTTCCCTTCAATCCTATGCAAATCCGTCTTTGCTGCCCATACCATCTCCGTTGCCCTATGGTCGTCTTGCCCAGCAGCAGCACAACCAAATTTTAGTCGTAAAAGAGGTTGTTCTCGCGGCAACTAGTTCTCTAACGACAACAGGTACAGCAGCCAACACATTTTTGATTTTTGTGGTTCTCATTCCTCTGCTCCCACGGACTAGAAGTAGGGTTATTGGCAGGAAACCAAACGGCTTGCTGGTTCTGGGCAATGGTCTCCTCACTGGCCAATTAAGCAGAACATCAAATGTCAACTCTGCTTCTACTTCAGCCACATAACCCCACAACGTGCTTGCAGTCACCAGCCCTCTGCCTATCTTGTTGTTGGTAATGCTTCTGCTCATACTCGGTCCTAGGGCACTATTGCGAACCAATACATTAGGTCTAATCTTACTACTCTGACCAATTCTGCATCCTATATTGATAATGATTACTTGCATGTTGATAAAAATAAAGATCTTTCCATGTCCCATATTATATTCTCTTAAACGTACCTTTACATTATTTAACATTCTTCATATTCCTCATATTATCAAACTATTATTATCTCTTTAAAAATTTTATCTTGATAATAATGATTATTTTTAATTTTATGCCTTCTATTTTATATAAAGGACCTCACCACCAAAGCAATGCTCTTTTCCAGTCAGAGCAATGATGGTCTATATGTTCTTTCTAAGTCTTCTGCCATAACCATTCCTCAAGCATATTGGTTTCCTTGCAACTCTAAGACTGCTAATCTATGACATCATCGATTGGGTCATCCTACCTGTCGCACCCTTGCGGTGATCCTTAATTGATTTTGGAGTCTTTGTTTGTTTTGTGTGTAAAAGGGAGTCACCACCTAGTATTATGGTCACTAGAAACCCTAAACTGGTCTTTCAGAGATTCTAAAGCAAATGACTGGTTGTGTAAAGGGAAGGTATTAGCATCCCTAGTACGCCCTTCCTAAATTCACGTTAGGTATTCAAATGGGAATATCTTAAGCTTCTGATATCAAAATTAAGTGATTCAAAAGCCCAAATTCATCTAACGTCTAGGACTAAAACTTTGACGAAGGAATCGAAGTGAGATAAAATCTTTTTACAGAACAGAATCTAGCAGTAATTTGGTTGCTCAAAAGGGATCTCCGGGTCTAACTCAAAAACTAACGAATGCTGAGAATCTTAATGTGACTGAGAGTATGAAATAAGAACAAAAATCACAAAAACTAGGCCAAAAATAGAGTTTTTTTAGTGCAAACTCGGGTCAATATCCTTTTGGTT